TGATCCAATATAACTGTTGCTCTTGTCCTTCTAGACGGTAAGGTCCTGGGTTTATAAGGTGCTGAGATACTGCTGTATACCCTGCATACCAGAGAAGTGAGTGAATATTTAAAGTTGGTGAATGGGGGTTGACCAAGTGGATACTTTCTTCTGGATGGTTTCAAGCTTCTTAAATGTTATTGGAACTGCACTGATCCAGGCAAGTGGATAATGTTCCATCACAATCCTGGCTATGCTTTTGACATGGCGACTGTGCATTGGGAAGACAGAATTGAGTTACTCACCATGGAATCTTCAGCCTCTGACCTGCTCCTAGCCATGCTTTTTGTATGGCTGGTCTGGTTCAATAGTAACCTTCAAGACAAAAACAAATTGCTGGAAAGCTCAGCAGATCCGGCAGCTCATCCTCTGAGAAAGGGTCACTCAACCCATTAACTCTGCTTTCTCTCCACAGATGCTGCCAGACCTGCTGAGCTTTTCCAGCAATTTGCACATGTTTTTGTTTCTGATATACAGCATCTGCAATTCTTTCAGTTTTTTAGTGACCTCCAAGATATCGGAAGGAGAGTATTCAGTATTGGTCATGTCAAAATTGATTGATGCCAATCCGGTATTAACTTTGAAAAGCAGCAGCTCAATATCAAACTTTATATAGTGTTTCACAGAAGTGCTGCATTTGCACGTTCATTCCCAAAAAAACTCATTTCTGCAAGTTAGGGTTGGTACTCAACAGTACATTTTAGATGTCTCTCAACATCTGTCCTAAAAAAGGTATAATTTAAAACTATTAAGTCTCATTCCTACAGTGTTAAAGATTTCAAACTTAGTTTCATTTTCATAGTTTTTTTTTTTAAAACTCAAATGCACCATAGTTCATGTGGTGCCCCTCATTCTCAAACTGTGCAGTGCTGGTCCCTGCACTCAAGGTTGACCTTGCCGCTCCGTTACCAGATTGCATCTCCAGCAATTTGCATAGAAAGCATTTTTGCGCTGAGGAAAGTGTATGAAAACAGCACACACCATTCCAAAGTGAATAGTTCTTATTTTGCATATCACTGCATTATAAGCTTCCTTCCTCCAACCTATCGCACTCAGGAAGATATTTAGTTGCTCCAATAAAAACAAATACATAACGTAGAATACAGTTGAAAATTCAGATTTTTCCTCAAATCATGGTACAGAGTAGAGTTGAAGGCAATATGAAAATGGACTCTCTGCTGAAATTGCAGAACTGATGTTTAAATTTGAAAGGAGAACCGAACTTTTGGTTTGACCGTACAGTTTGAATTCTCAAGCTTCTATCCCACATGTCTGGTTCTTTACTGAAACCTGTACTCATTACACCGGTGTACTCGTAAATTAGCTTCAAAAGGTCCAAGCTACCACTCCTCAAGTCAAGAATGAGCCCACAGATTCTTTCATTATGCATTTTTTAAATGACCATTAGAACCCGTGTTTTTCTTAATGAAGTAATGGACTTGCAAAATGGGTTTGACTGATGAAGCAGCAAGTCCTACCGAGGAAGCATACAAACCAGAGACGTCTAGTGAGTAATCTTGGATATTTGGGATGTGCGCTCTGGACCATGAAGAAATAGCCCACCAGGACCCATGATAAGTTATTACATGAATAACAGCAGGTTGGGTTACATATACATATTTCCCAACAGCTGCAATAGGAATGTGATCTGGAGGGTCTTCAAAAGCAGAAGTAGGTTGAATCTAGATAGCTCCTATTGCTTTAGTGTACAAAGGCTGGAGATAGAAAAACAATCTAAGTAGGTAAATTGGTACCTAGTGATAGAAATAATCACTGGAATTAGAAGGTAAGGAATCAGAAGCACGTAAAACTAAGGATGTCATCTAGATAGTGAAGGATAGGGTTAAGCAGTTGGAATTGCTAATGATCTTTGAAAGTAGTACCAGTTGTTTGAGAAGAACTAAAAACTGAAATCAGATGCAGGCCAGTTGGGTCAAGTAAAATATTAGTTTTAGAAGTAATAAGACTGATATAGGAAAGATTGGTTGGACTTAAATAGGATAGGAATAAGTGAACTCTATGGGATTATAATACTTTCAACCTAATAGGGAGGGGCAAGGGTAGATCTATAATTCAAATAAGGTCTGAACTGTGCCCATACATCTCTAGGACTTGATCCCTCAATATCCTCGGCTTGCAAGAAAAGTCTAGCAATCTCATTCAAAATTTTCAATTCAACTAGCAACTGCTGCTCTCTGCAGAGTTCAAAATCGTGCAGAAGATTTTCCTAACTTACCTCTGATCTTAAAGTCATGTCCTTATCACAGACTCCCCCATTAATGGAAATAGATTTTTCATCTACCCTATTCAATTCCCTTTACAGATCCTAAAAACTTGAAATTGATTTAGAAATTGAAATATGATGAGAAATAAAGTTAAATAGGGAAAGAGCAAAATCTGGCTTAGGCTACTGACAAAGGAGGGACAGAGGTACCACTTTTTTGCCTTGTACAACATCCCTTTTGCCATTTAACATTCTTTCCTCCTGATTAGATCTTCCCTTTTGGTTCCCATCCACTTCACTGCCTTCTGTGCCAATCTAGGTACAGTACATTCCTACATTTTTCTAATTTTGATGAAAGGCCATTAATCTGAAATGTTAACTTTTCCCCCTCAGATACTGCTTGACCTGTTCAGTAAAACCAGCATTTTCCCTTTGTTTCAAAATTCTAGTACCCGTAGTATTCAGGACTCTACAAAACATGATACAATGAAATAAAGACACCATGTACAGATAATGGAATAATGAGCAACCTCCACCAACAAAGATAAAAACCTAATGGAAGTGATAAGAAATCCAAATTAGAATAATTCTGATGCAAAGTTGCTTCTGAGCACAAGTCATGAATATTACAAAAGAAAATCTGCATCAAGATCTGCTTCGTACAAGAAAGACAGACCGTATTAGGCGATGGCCTAATGGTATTATTGCTGGACTGTTAATCCAGAGACTCCGATAATGCTCCCGGGACGGCAGATGGTGGAATTTGATTTCAATAAATATATGGAATTAAGAGTCCAATGATGACTGTGAATCCATGGGCAATTGTTGGGAAAAAAACCCCATCTGGTTCACTAATGTCCTTTAGGGAAGGAAATTGCCATCTTTACGTGGTCTAGCCTACATGTGACTCCAGACCGACAGCAATGCGGTTGACTCTGAAATGCCTGCTGGGCAATGAATGCTGTCTAGCCAGCGACTCTCTCATCCAGTGAATGAATAAAGGGAAAAAAGAATTTCAGGGAATAAGTGATTATCAATACTCACAAATCAGTGGAAGTGACAATGCAAAAGAGAGATTCCAGGAAAGTAAACATCAGTTGAAAAGAAAAACAGTAAGGTGCATTGCTGCAAAATTGCTGGGGCAATGAAAAGCAGCAATTTTTTTTTTTTTTAAAAATACACACACCAAGAATTTGCCCAAGTATAAATAATCTATACAAATCCTACAGGTGCAAAGTTATACTGTATAAAAAAAGTTAAAACTAGTTAAATATACAGCAGAGGAATCCACTAACTAGCAAAATGAATTAAATATTAAAACATTGGCAACAACACATTAGTAACAATCACTTCCTTAAGCAAAGGATAAGTGTAATTAGGTAATTGAGAAGGGTAATTTATTTACAACCACATTGAATGCAGTCATTTGGCTCATTGTATAAACTGAAATAGCCCAAGTCCTATTCCTTTTCATTTCCAAATATGCAAGTTTCACTTTAAAATATTGTTAATTCTGCTTCCACTCCTGGTTCTGGATAGGGACACCATGTTTTAACAATCTTCTGCATTAAAAACAACTCATTTCTCACTTTGTTTTGGTACTAATCCAAAATGAATATTTATTGACTAGCGGACATCTATTAAATCTCAACAGAAAGCTACAATTCCAAATTTGATTACCTCTCACTTACGTTTTAGTGAAGGAACCCTAATTTGTAATCCACAAAATCACCTCTCAATGAGATGGTATTAACATACTTCCTAAAACAGGAAATGGAAAATTGGATGCAATATTTGGTTGTGAGCTCATGAAAGGCTCGAGTTAAAAACATTTAAACTCAGTTACAGGCTTTATTCTTTTGTTAGTCTTCTGCAGGGGTGGGCAGGTCTGGCAGAGTACAGGGGAGTAGTAGTCCTGTCCTGTGGTGTAAAGGGAGAAGTAGGTTCAGGACAGAGCCCTCAATTCCCCTGATATTTTCTGGATTCCAGGACACAGTGGAATTGCTCATTGGAATTTTTTTTTCAGGAATGCCCGCAATCTGCGATGCCAAGAATTACTCAGTCGTGATGTGCATCTATGCTGCAGGAGAAACTATTGGAAAACCTGCGCCAAAACAGCTACAGAGGTTCTGCAAGACTGAAACAAGTACAGCACTAACATTTAAAACGGGGGTCCAAAGCTGTCTTTCAACAGTAGGCTCATTCAGCAAATACCAATAACATTCTTCAAACTGGTAAACGGATCTGATGGCTGCAATGTAGCTTTGAAATGGAATGTCCCATTTATTCTGTGCAGTAGAGGGTGTGGCACACTGCTTATTGTAGATCAATCAATAAAGGCTTCAGTTTGATTGAACAATTTTATGCTCTTTGGTGGTTACCTCGAATTAAACTATTTAAGCATTATGGAAATTAACTGTTCGTGAATTGAAATAACAGACATTTCTATCCAAAAGCCTGAAACTGTCAACATTCTACTGAGACTTCTCTTCCCTCCTTCACCTTTTCTCCTATACACTTTATTGCCCACCTTTGCCCTGCAATTTTCTGGTTGGATTTGAATCTCACTTCAGAATCTGGAAGTCAAAATTAGTCTGTTGTAAAATCTATATCCACTTTCATTAAATAATCTTTATTTGTGCAAGACAAAGGTTGAGATTTACTCTAATGGAATTGATTCAGAAGGAAAGTATGCATTAAACCTCCTCCCATGCCATTGTTTCCTTCAAGCATTCACCTGGTGTCCCATCGTAGTGGCAAAAGTATCAGCAATCCAGGACATCTCTCTCTCACCCGTGCTCATGTCAGGGGCAGGCACATCAATACCAGGTCCTAGGAAAACAAACAAAAGCTTTAGTCTCCCAGTATTTTTGCTGCTTAACATGAATAAATTGAGAAGCCTTAAAAAAAAAATGGAGACCAGAACAGGTACCACATACTAGTTTATCACAATCCTACATCTTCACTTCATAATTATGCCAACCTGATCGTAACCAATGGTACAGGCTCCTGGAACCACTAGAGCAATGAATGATTAAAGTTTCTATATTTATTAATAATCATTTTCTGAATTTCTCTTCAAATCTTGGAATTAGAATTTAGCTGTGCTAAATTAGACATGCACAAGGAAGGGTCAGACAGGATATGATTAGACAATATTTTAGCTGTGGTCAAGTAGCCTCAATAGACTTGCGCCAGAAGTCTGTGCTCTGGAGAATGGTATAAAACGTGCAGTCTGAACTGCAGAATCACCCTCTGGTGTCACCAATTATGGAAGTCCAACTTTGAGGAAATTTCCAATGCACTAGCCCCACATTTTAAAAAAGTGATACCATTAAATTTGTCAAATGTGTTTTTGAGAAGGCCCACAACTAGGAATGCCATGATTCAAACATCATTCTTTCATAAATCCAGTACATACTAAAAACTGGAAACCCACTCTCAAGGCCCAGTCGACCTCAGATCCCAATGTTATTTTTCCCCCCCGCAAGCTGATTTCAGTCATGGTATGACGGGGACTGAAATAAAACAATTGTCTGTTGTATAGTGGGTTACTGGAGGTAAAGTAGATAGTAAAGGACTAAGTGTGAACACTGTCCAGGTTCAAACATGGCCATGATGACCTCCAGAGTTCAGCTGTTTGCAAGATCAAGCACATAGAATGGTCATCTGAATAAACTGTTAGCACACTATCAAAACCAAAGACTATACCTGCAAGAATGAAAATCGTC